GTGGAAAGGCTTGGAAAAAATTATATTAAGTGAAGTAAGCCAGGCCCAAAGAAACATAGGTGCCATGGTTTCCCTTATTTGCAATATCTAGTATATGTCTGAGTCATGCAGAAAAGCTCAGGTAAGTTGATGTTAGGGAAATGAACCCTAAGATATGTATTGAAATGTTTTTTTTTCTTTCATGTGATTGTTTCTAACACATTTATAAGATTACTTCTTTGTTGCTATGAATGTCCATGACACTCTTATCTCCAATAAACTACCAAAAACCGGGAAGTGGAGCTGTGGCTCAAGTGGTAGTGCAACATCTTTGCACAGAAAGAAGCACAAACGTTATGTTGAAAAACGAACTTTACAACTTTGGGGAGGGTGAGAAGGGTGTAGTTATGGAGATGGGAGGGAAAGGATGGTAAGGTAAAAACAGAGGAGGCAACAATGCTTGATAAGAAATGTACTCATTACCTTGCTCATGTAATTGTAACCCCTCTGTATAGTATTTTCACAATTAAAAAAAACTTAATTATGCAAACAATTTTTTAAAAGTGCACGGATAGTACCCAAACCTATAATTCAAGTTGCAGGCAACACACACACACACACACACACACACACACACACACACACACACAAAACAAAGACATAAAAGATCCTGAGACTCTGTTTCCATAGAGCTAAATGGGATACATCAATCCTTGCAACAACAGAAAGATTAAAGTAGCCTGATCCAAGATCAAGTGGGCACACAAATAGGAAGTAAAATTCTATTCTAAAAGTAAACAGTGAATAGAAGCTGGAGAAATGATTCATTGGTATTATTCTAATGTGGCATGTACAAGGTCCTATGTTTAAAACCCAAGAACCACTAAAAAGTTCTAAAGAAATGCAAATAAAAAATGGAATAAATATCATTAATGCAAGTGAGAACATGATCACTAGCTAAATAACTATATATACATATACTTATTTGTATCCATGGATTTTAGTATTTGGGGGTGTCCTGGAACTAATCCATCTATGGATATTAATGGAGAACTATGTATAATGGCCCATCCTTTCACTGTTTATGTTGCACCAAGAGTTTGAAAAGAATTCTATTTTTTAATATTTTTTATTGTGAAAATACTGTACAGAGGGGTTATAGTTACATAAGCAAGGTAATGAGAACATTTCTTATCAAGCATTGTTGCCTCTTTCTTTGTTTTTCCCCTACCATCCTTTCTCTCCCTCCTCCACAACTACATTCCCCCACTCCCCCCACCTCCTCACCTCTGCCTAAATTGTAAAGTTCATTTTTCAACATAGTGTCTTGTACATCTTATTGTTACAATGAGTCAACCTGTATCCCTAAACATTTTGGTTTTTCCCTTCCCCTCCCCAAATTATTTGATGTCACTGTATTTGATGAAAAGAATTTTAAAATATCTGAATTTATTCCATGATACCATACTGAGACAGGGCTGTGTGGAGCCCAGATGTTACTCCTGGCAAACAGATGCCATAATGTAACATAAGCAAGGGCTCTGCCAGTGTGCATAACATGGGGCATATCCTTGAAATGGATCTTTCCCTTTATCTCCTACCATCATGGCTTTGATATCCAAGGAAAAGCAGTCAAAACCTATCACATTATCAACAACTTTCAATCAACGACAAATGGGAGGAGGAGTCTTATGAGAAATTTGAAATGTGTCTACTGGTACTCTGTGGTCTTTACTATGAAGATAAGGGAAATATAGTTATCATTTATAAGAGGATTTTGAGGAAGAAAAGAAAAATATAGACATGGAAAGTGAAGATAGTGGTGAAGATCACAAGTTAAGATTTTTTTAGTCTATTGAAGTTGAAACAAGTATATCTTACAGGTTGACTTGAACTGCAGGTCATTAAGCCAAACTTGACAGAGAAGAAGATAGATAAAAGGATCACACTGAGAGGAAAACCTTAAGGAAGGAAAAGAGAAAGAAGAAATTGAAGAACAGAATTGTAGCTGTCATTGTGTATATACCAATATTCAGAATGTGAAAGTAAGCACAGCAAAACAAAAAACAGATCCAGTCAATAGATACATGAAATATGTCCTTTAGCCAAAGATCCATATTGTCCTGTCTGCTTTAGTGACCAGTTTCACAATCTAAACAGAACTATAAACTAGAAATGACCCATTCCACTTGGGTGTTGTGTACTTTAGCTGGGGTTTCAAGCCATTGAGACATTATCTCTTCTCAGAGAAGCTAGCCCTATTCTGAAGGATAGTGCTATAGAAAGGCTTAATAGAAACCTGTCTCCATAGCTGACTGACAAAAATCCATGAATGAACTATTAAAGAGCTTGTGAATATTTCAATAAAGGAATAGGCACCAGGTGTTGATGTGTTCTCTTTTAGGTCAATTCAAAGAAAATCATAGACTTTCTTTTCTGATGGGCTTACTAGAATAGTACAGAAAAGAAAGATGGTGTTACAGGCAGAAAGGCAACTGACGAAAGTTCCCCTGACACCCTTATAAAAATGTAGAAAGTGAGATGGATTTTTCAGCTCCCCAAGCCACGTTGATTAATGGATCAGTGCCATCCTGGGAGATGTCTCTCTGAAACGGAATGCTGATGAGAAGTACTTGGTCTTGTTTTGTTCAACATTCTGATTAACAACTTGGATAAAGACACAGATGGTATGCTTATCAAATTCAGGGATGATATAAAGCTGAGAGTTATAGCTAATATGTTAGATGTCAGAGTCAAGATTTAGAGCTCCTAACAAGCTGGTATAATGAACTAAGAATATGAAAGAGAATACAGGTAAAAGCAAGTTCTGCGTTGTGACACCCGTAGGCAATTGAACATATATAATCAGAATGTGAATGCAAAATTTCATATCAGTTACTAAAGATTAGACTACAGGATTGTTGTAACTGCAAACTAAAAATGCATCCACAGTTACTATGCTAACACATTACTTGACCATTTTGCATGGATGAATGAATATGAGTATTCCTCGTCTATTATGCATCTATTTTCTTTTTGTCTTTTTGTTAATACATTATATTTCTTCCCCAGAATAATTTTCTCCGATTCCCCAACTTAAATTTTGTCTCTTGTTATTCTCTCATATAACATTAATCTTTTTTTTCTTTTTGAATAGCATTTGATGTACTTATATAGCTTACTAAAATGCATAGAGATCATATTTGTTTGTTAATTAAACTGTGTACCTAAAGTATAACATTGTTCTTGGCACATAATAAATATTCAGTAAGTAAGTCCTGCAAGGATTCAGGGTTTACAATGTGAAAAAGAAGAAAGACATGCAAATGTAGCAAGTTTGACAAAAATGTGATTATTAGCTTATTTATGTAACTCTAACCACTCTGCACATCACTTTGACAATAAAAAGCAAAAAAAATTAATATAACTTATAATCTATATGAAGGTATATCTGAATTTCTGTGAGTATTGACGACCATATGGAAAATTGGAATAAAAGACTTCATGAAGAAAATGACTTGAATTGGGACTCAAAATTGAGTAAGAATTCTCCTGGAAAACAAAGTGCCCAACTTTGGAAAGAGCATGGGCAAAGAACTGGGGTCAGGAAAGGGCAGACAGACATGGAATTCCAGTATGGTTAGACCATATGGTATGGGACAGGTGTACATGAAAATTACATTGCAACACTGTGTTCCATTTTGCTGAGGGGAACATTGGAGAAAAACTGAGCACAGTGATAAAAAGGGCTAGAGACTATCCTATAAATCAAAATCTCTCTCTCTTTCTCTCTCTCACATGTACACATGCACAGAGAGAGAGAGGAGAGAGAAAGAGAGAAAAAAAGCATGATATATTTACAAATGGATGGGGAATTATAAGTATTTTCAAATTTTGTGATATATTCTTATATAAACCGTATTTTACATTTAGTTTTAGCTGCATAAGATTAGTTTGCAACCTAATGGAGTAGAAGGGCCTATATTCAATAAATGAAAAGTCTTCCAATTTCCAGTTTTAGACTTGCTCAGATGTGTGCTTCAGTCAAAGTTTCTAGTCAGTGAAAATGTTTAAGTAGAGTTTCTAACAACAGCTGAAATAAAACTTTGTCATGATTAATGCAAGATCTTCCTATTTTCAACATCTTCTCACAACCTTATTTCCTATAGGCTATTTTAAAACATGTGTGTATGTATGTGTAGATAATTACATAGATGATAAACACATGTTTTCCAAGTAATTTCAATTGTATATATTTCTACATGTATATGTGCGTACTACGTCTTTAGTGATTGTTCTACTTAGTCCTCCAGTTATACAAAACTAAGTTTTTTTAACATTTATTTTTATTTTTAATTGTCAAGATATAGAGAGGGGTTTAAGTTACATAAATAAGGTAATGAGTAAACTTCTTGTGAACCTTGATACCCCTTCCCTCAATATTCCCCTAGAAGTTTTTAACTTTTCCTTCATCGGCTGAACCTTTCATTTCTTAGTCCCACTACCCATAATTAACCTAGTTTTCAAAATTATACCCAATTCCCCCTGTTCAGCACCTCCAATCAATTTCATCCTCTAGACTCAGGTACTTTCTCTTCATTCCCAAGTTCTCTGCCAATTTTCAACCTCATGAAACACTATTGTTTCATACTCTAACCCCAAATTCCCATCTGGTTGCTCTATCTCTGTTCTTCCCTCTCTCAAATCCAACGCTATTCTGAGGCCAGGATTATTTATGTGAAATAAATAGGGAATTCTACCACAACTGGACTTATCAAAAGTAAACAAAGGCTAAGCAGTCCAGGGACAGAGTGGAAAAATTTAACTATCCAAAAATCAAATAATCATTGGTCCAGATCATCGTTGAGATATCAATGTGTATTTCTATGTTTCAGAAATGGTGGTTCATTCACACAGAATAATGAAAAAATATATATTAAAACAACCAGCTTCTAGACTTTGGAACAACCCCCTTGGTCCTGTAAATGTTGTCATCTTCTCCACCTCTTTTATTTGCTTACCAGAGCTGCTGCAGTATGAAGGGTCTACAGGTCTTCCATTTTTATCAGAGCAGGCAATAGCTTGAAAGTGCACACCTTCTCCACATTCTTTGTTGTCTCCTTGTACTCGGAATCCTCCTCTCTGAGTCTCCTTTTTGCCTTCTGGAAGAATGCAATCCGACCAGTTTCCATAAGGTTGGGATGTAAATATGTCACAAGGACAAAGTTGTGTTTCCATAAGAGGATATAAGTTAGCATCCTGGCATTTCTCTTTCTTCCTGCTTTTCCCTGTTCCAAAAGAAAACATAGATGTATTAATTTTGTATATGTTGTCTTGTTAAAGATCATTCACATTTTTATAAGCTCATAAAATAGCAAACTTTAAATAATGTGAAGTTTTACTTTTTGTTTCATCCCCACCCCCTGATAGGAGAAAATCCTAGGACAATTGAACAATACCTAGAGCATTCAATTTAATTATTTTGGAAATTCAATTAATTTGGAGCTAAAATGAGTTGTTGTTGGAATTATGTAAACAATATTTCAAAGATGTTTATGACAGTGTTTCATTTCTTTCTAAATCTCTAAGTAAATTCTAAGTTCTGGAAAATTAGGGTGATCCCTTCATTGCCAATATTTGAGTAATAAAAAATGTGTATTGGTTAGTTGAGAAGTCTAAGGAAGTTATGGGGGGAAAAAAGTTAAAAAGAGAAGCATAATAGAAAAGGGGAGAAGAGAAAGAAGGACAGAGAAAGTGAGAGCAGAGATTGAGAAAGTGGGAAGGGGATAAAGAGAGAGAGCACAAGAAAAATGTTCATTTATAACAAAAATAACAAAACAAATTATTAAGAAAACAGCTTGTACAAATAGATGCTATCTATATTTGTGCTATCCTTAATTACTTGCCATCAATGTTTGAGGAGGATTTAAGCAATTTATTTAATGTAAGAATGATTCTTAGAATAAGAAACAAATTATCAAGAGTTCTTTACTTTGATTACATTTTAATAAAAATCAGCTCTAGACTCTAAATTCAATACCAAATAGCAATAAAAATTGATCCCTAGCACAAATTTAAGGCAATTTTCCAAATTAGGTCAGAATGTGTATCACATATATAGTTGTTTTGAGTGTGTGCATGTGTGTGCATACCTGAACTAATGAAATGATACTTTGTGGCATGATATAAACAACTGCTTGTTCAACCACTTTGGAAAGTAGTATGGAGGTTCCTCAAAAGACTCCCCATAGAGCTCCCCTATGACCCAGCAATCCCACTTTTGTGCATTTACCCAAATGATCACAAACAAGACCATACTAAAGCTACCAGCACAACTGTTTATTGCAGCATTATTTACCATAGCTAAGATATGGGACCAACTGAGATGCCCCTCAGTAGATGAATGGATCAAGAAAATGTGACATACATGTGTGTGCGCGCGCGCGCGTGTGTGTGTGTGTGTATACATTGTGTGTGTGCATATATATATATATATATATATATACACACGCACACACACACACACACACACCAGAACTCTATGCTTCCATCAGAAAGAATGACATTGTCCAGTTTGTTAGGAAATGGAAAGACTAGGAAAAAATTATTTTAAGTGAAGTAAGCCAGGCCCAAACAAACATTGGTCCCACGGTTTCCCTTATTTGCAATAACTAGTATATGTCTGAGTCAAGCAGAAAAGGTCAGATAAGTTGATGTTAGGTGAAATGAACCCTAAGATAAGAACTCAAATGTTTTTTTTTTATTGCTATTGTTTCTAACATACTTATAAGATGATTTCTTTGTTGCTTTGTATGTCCCTCCCCCACAGTATAACCCGTTTTCACTGTATTTGATGTTAGTATAATTTGTGGAAGGGAAGGGAAAAAACTAATTGTTTAAATAGGGATACAGGTGGATTCATTGCAACAATGAGATGTACAAGACGCTATGTCAAAAAACAAGCTTTACAATTTTGGTGGGGGGGGGTGAGGGACGGGGGCAGGGGGAAGTGGGGAGATGGGAAAGGATGGGAAGGGTAAACAAAGGAGGAGGCTACAATGCTTGATAAGAAATGTACTCATCTTGCCCATGTAATTGTAACCCCTCTGTACAGTATTTCCACAATAAAAAAAAGAAATGTACTCATTATCTTGCTCATGTAATTGTAACTGCTCTGTACAGTATCTTTACAATAAAAACTTATTTAAAAATTGTTTTAGTTACCATTCAACCTAAAATTTGTGATGATCCAATTTGGATACAACACATAGACAGTAACTAAAGTCTCAATAAAATTTTAAAAAGAAAGATAAATCTATCAGAATGCCCCATTTTTAGTGAAGTGGTTTGTGTTTGTTTCTGCCTTATTTTCTGTGTGTGGCTGAGTTGAGAGAAAGTGTCACAAAGTTTTTAAATCTGAGCCTGTGATTTCCATCATCATTCGTATGAGATCATCTATTAAGTTTGCAGGTAAGTTACATCGGAATCCACCAATTAATCAAAATACAAGAATAAATTCCACAATAATTATGGGATTAATTCTATAATAATAAAAAGGCCTTGAAAAGTGGACGAATTTTAATTTATTACTGAGTTTTTTGTGTTACTTTGTTCAATATTAATTTTAAATAATCCATGTGACTAATTTACTAATTCAATGACTCATTTTGTTTTCTACAGTGAATGCTTTCCATCAGACTGACCAGTTCTATTATCACTTAGACATGAGAACACAAAAATATTAGACACCTAAAAGGACATAGTTAAAATAGACAATTATTTCTAAAAGTCATTCAGTGTTGTTGTTAGCTTCAAGTCTGTAGAAAAATGCCTAACACTTCTCAAATATTTACTTTTATAAATAAAACATATTTGAAATAAAAGTCAACTTCATTCGAATTTTTAGTACTGCTTTAAAAATGAATTAATGCTCTAAAATTTTCAATAGTTTCCATTCTGATTTTGCAGGTGCCAAGTATCATTAGCAAACCTTCAAGAGGAAGCAAAAACCTGGGCACTAATTAGAAGTGTTCTTTCCCTTTAAAAGAAGTTCTCTCTCATCTCTGAGAGTGAGTAGGAAAATGGCACCTTCAGGCAAGTGTTAGAAAACTGGTCCCTGTACTTTAAATTATTCTGGTCACACACACTGTGTCCGATTATATTATTTTTGTTTGTAAGAAAATTGTTTTATCTTAGTAATATAAGAAATGTTGCACAAAATTCTATACATATACTTTGTGGATAACAGAGCTCAAGTATTGAATATTTTAGTCTATGCTTTTAGTGTGATTATACATTTCACTTTTACTTATGAATGAACATATCCTTCATATGAAGGTATCTTGAGAAACCTGTAGTCACTTAAGGAAACTCATTTTTAATAACTCAAATTATGAATTTGATCATAAAAACTATGAATTCAATGGGATCTTGAATGGATGGGCGTCGGTGCCTTGTTTTTCATTAGCAATACCAATTTTACCACCTCAATGATTATTTAGACATACTTCCTTTGATTCATCAGATTCAGTTTTCTGCACATAAAAATATATATGCAAAGCCGGGCACCAGTGGCTTATGCCTGTAATCCTAGCTATTCTGGAGACTGAGATCTGAGGATCGCAGTTCAAACTTGCCTAGGCAGGAAAGTCCATGAGACTCTTATCTCCAATAAACCACTCAGAAAACCAGAAGTGGCACAGCGGCTCAAGTGGTAGAGCACTAGCCTTGAGCAGAAGAGCTGATGGGTATGATGTTCAGGCGCAGAGTTCAAGCCTCATAACCAACAAAAAAAAAAAAAAAAGAAGAAGAAGAAGTTTGCTAAGGAGGCTGAGATCTACCAGGTTGGGCAGGAAAGTCTGTGAGCCTCTTCAATTAATCACCAAAAAGTTGGATATGAAGCTGTGGCTCAAGTGGTAGAGTGCTAGCCTTGAGGGGAAAAGCTTGGAACAATGATCAGACTTTAAGTTCAAGCTTTAGTACCAGAAATAATAATAATCAAAGAAGTTCTAGCATACTACCTAGACAAGTAGTAAAATAGTTTACTGCCTCAATCATTTGAATATTGCATGCATAATTTGTTTCAGGACTTCAATTAAACTATCAATTGCACTAACTTTCAATTATCTTTTGCAGATGTACACAGAACAGCACACAAGATTCAGAATCGATGTACATAAACTGAATTTTACTTACTGAAATTTTAAGGTTTCGAATTGCTTTTAAGCTAATTTCAAAATGAATAAAAGTGAGATTAGATCTTGCCTTTGATGTTGTTTCTAAAGTGGTGACTGCTTTCAAGTTTGGTGATTTCCTAGCACAAAAAAGTAGCAGACTTTTTAGCATTATTTATCTAAATGAAATTGGTATACAAGTCAGACATGGTAAAAACATGCCTGTCTACTCAACTACATGAGAGACACAGGTAGGAGGATCAGACTTTGGGTCTGGCAAAAAACATAAGATCCTATGTGAATAAATAAATGAAGTAAAACCGGGTCATTGGTTGAGTTTCGAATGGTGGAGTTCTCACTGAACAAACATTAAGTCCTGAGTTGAAACTCCAGTACCACCAAAAAGAATAAAGTTAACACAAACTTTCTCTCAGTGAGAGCTTCTAATCTTCCTGGGAGATGCACAGAAGTACAATTTATCTTATAGCAAACAGTGAAAGGTGCACCCTACCTGTGAGTTGTCGTCTCCTGGTTTGGGTGGCTTCACAACTCCCAGAGCAAGGTGTAAACTTGGACCAAGGAGTGAAGGTACACTCATCTCCTCGACATGGCACAGTACATTCTTGAACAAGAACAGGCATACCATTTTTCTGCTTGAGACATTCCATCATTTCAGCTGACTGATTATCATCAGAGATGCAGGAGACAGCTAGAAAAAAAATTCTTTTGTTATTCTTGGGATCTTATTTTGATTAAATCAGGCACCTGCTGGTTCTTTGACAAAATAGGAGAACTCCCTAATGTTTGAAATTTGTTTTTCACTATGATTGCATATGCTGTTCAATATAGCTCACCTTCTTGCTCCCTGGAAATGAAACTTTTATTGTTGCCATTGGAGGAATTTGAGGATTTAATTGGTTTCATTATTAATCTAAACCTTGCATTGACAGCAACCAAATAACTTCCAGTAATTTATTATACATCCTGCTTATGAGCTTCTGATCCCTAGAGATTATATAAGACTAGAAAAAGCATCTGTAAGAGAAATAGAGAAGGGCACCAAAAAAAGGATAAAACTGATTTTTTTTTAAATCATGAGGACTTTACCCAGACTTTATTAAATTTTTGGTGGGTTTGTTGGTTGGTTAGATGCACTTATGGAATTAGTCCAATACTTACCTCACAGTCTGTAGTTAAAAAGGAAGTTCTGCTTTCTACAAATATTTTTCTTATTAATATTTAATCATTAGTTAAAATGTTTAAATCACCTTTTCAAGTAAAACTCATAATCTAAGTAGATAAATCCTACTACAATTACCTTACTGCGGCTAGTAACTTTCCTCCCACAAGCTTTTCAACTAGGATTGTCTTCAATCATATCATAAAATTACTAATAATCTTGAGGTAAAACATTTAGGAAGGTTTACTTAAATCTTTATTTGCTTCTTTAGGTTCATGCCATTTATTTTATCTGATTATGAATGCATGATTTCAATGAATCTTTTATTCACCCTGTTTAGTTGTGAATTCTGTGATTCTCTAGATCAGCATTTCTGAACTTCAGCACTGATGAATTTTTAGATTAGATAATATTTTTGTGGGTACCTCTGAAAAGCTTGCCAAGAATAAGACATTATTAGCAGCATCCCTGATTTCTTCTCATAAGATAGTAACAGAACACACCCCTTCAAGTGGTTAAAACTAAAAATATCTTTAGATTTTTCCAGGAGGAGAGGGATGTAATATTGCCTCAGTGGAGAAACACTCTTTCTGTCCCAACAGTGCTGCCTATTGAAGATACTTCGTTTCATGCCTCTCATCTCAACTTGCTGTATCAGTATGTCTGGGTAAGAAGTCTAGGAATATTTTTATTTCTAAATGTCCTATGTGATTTAGATCCAGTCCATATTGACTACCATGTTTGGCTTGGTGCCACTAGGCACAATGTTTGTTCAAGGATATTTTCTGAGTATATCATCTTAAAGATACCAATTTAAGATCAGTTTTTATTAGAGCTACTTAAAAGTTTTCCATGTGACAGATATAAAGACATGTCAGCCCAAGATCAATTCTGTTAAGAAATCTTTATGAAATTTCTCTAGACAAGGGGAAGATATATAAGGGCTTCTGTCAGTTACACATTTTCTTTATATATTGAAAAACTGTCCTTATTCTGGGTATGACAGAGGACAAGTCTATTTGAATATCACAAATCTCATTCCAGTACTGGTGGAAGCCAAAGCCATTTAATGATTCAGGGCCAAGGAATTCACTTAGATGACAATGGCCACATACACAATACTTCCCAGTGCAGACATCTGCTTTGTAGCAGGTGGAGCTATTCATTCCATTTGAATTACTTCATGTTTTTGTTTTTATCCACTTCTTCAGAACAAAGTCCACTGAATATCAAGCCAGCATCACCTGCATTTTCTTTGTTGGAAATATTGCAATCACTAATGATGAATATACATTATCTTAAGTATGGTACAAGGATTGCATGATTTGCATGCTTAGGTAACCAATTTGGATCAATTTAGAGAAAATTTATCTTGCCAAGTTTTTTGTTTGTTTTTCAAAGTGACAATGCATTGAATAATTTGATACAGAATTTTAAGGACTTTTTAAAAAATTCGATTTGGAATGCGACCCTTTCATGTTGTATGAATGCAGAATCTTTCAATGATAAAGTATAAATTATTTTATTTATTTTCTGTGTTTTTATGAATAAGTTTAGAATGTGAAAGCAATAATAAATAATAATTGGATGATATTGGAAGTTATACAACCACCTAAATTAGAATAAAATTGCATTTTAGAAGTCTACATTGAGCTCTTCTGAATTGATGAAGAAAGTATATGAAATTAAGAGAGAATATCAAAAACATTTGGTGAAGTTCTCATTATATAATCAAACTGAAATGAAGTAAAATATCAACGACTTAAACAGAGTTATTGAAATTTAGAACATTTTTCTATTTTTAGTTTCACATTGCTAAAATAAATATAATATGACCATTACAAAGAGTGTTAAAAATCCTAAAAAAATCTTCCAAATATTGCAGTTGCAACTAATGCTGCCAATTATTGTTAGCCTTTGAATTTATTTTTAAATATAATTAAGCTAATAGTTCTCCAAGCAAGTATATATATATATATATAATCCCTTTCCTAGTCTCATTATTTTCCTTGTCATCCTCAGTAACTATGGAAAAAATCTTGCTTGAACCTTTACCTTCCCTCAGTTGTTACTTTAAAAATATCATGTTTAATCAACATATCAGCTATAACCTCAACCCATTCAGTGCATTATCAATTCTGTGCAAAGAAAATCAGGTCTGCTTCTACTATACAAACTGGTATGACTCTGTAGTCTAATACAGACAATCAAGGTCTCTGAGGACCACAGAATACATGCAAAATGTAAACATGAAGCTTGATAATGGCCACATTATCCTATAAATGAAAAATAAAGGGTAGGAAGCAATTATGAAACCACAGACCATTCACTCATGGTTAGACTAAGAGTTACCATTTTCAGATTCTTTTGTTTTTATTGCCAAGGTGATGTACAGAGGGTTACAGGTACATAGATTGGGTAACAAGTATATTTCTTCTTTAACAATGTCACCTTTTCCCATTTTTTCTCCAAGTTTTTTCCCCCTACAAGGTGTATAGTTCAGTTTCAACATAGTTTCTAGTGAGTATCACTAATAAATTAGTTCACACTATTTCTGTGCTTCCCCTCACACTCCCCCCAATCATGTAAACTTACATATAAGAGAAAAAGGACAGAAATAAAAACAGTGAAAAAAAGCAAACAAAAGGAGAGAAATAGGAAAAAAAGCAAAACAAAAAAATTAAACGTAAAATAAGAAAAAACTCTTGTTCCATTTCTTGGAGTTCATTTCAATAAACCTCATTTTATATGATTATATGCACATTGTTATTGAGCCTTTGCAATCCTCTCCTAAACACCCCCCTTTGGTCCCATTGTGTGAACGTTTAGAGTCCTGTTAAATTTATCATATCATACTATATTTTTTTGTCTTCTGCTATCCATTGTGTTTACTTGTAGTTTATATGCACATTCTAATAAGGAAACCATGCAACCTGTGTTTCCGTGGGTCTGGCTTACTTTGCTTAATATAATTTTTTTCTACGTCTTTTCATTCCTTATGAATGGATCAGTGTCATTCTTTCTGATGGAAGCATAGAATTCCATTGTGTATAGATGCCATATTTTCCTGCTACATTTTCCAATAAGGGCCATCTAGGTTGATACTGTAACTTGGCTATGGTAAATAATACCTCAATGAACATGGTTGTGCTGGTAGCCTTAGTGTGACCTGGTTGGTGGTCAATTTACTAATTGCCCAGGAGTGGTACTTCTGTGTCAATACAGTGTGGGATACTGAGGAAATTCTTTAAAAAGCTTCTATATACTGTCCACCCAACAATAGCTCACACCCGAAATCCTAGCTACTCAGCAGGCTGAGATCTGAGGATCAGCTTTGAAGACAGCCTGGGGAAAAATAAAATTTATAGAACTTTTTTTTGTTTGTGTGAAAATACTGTACAGAGGGGTTACAATTACATGGGCAAGGTAATGAGTACATTTCTTATCAAGGATTGTTGCCTCCTCCTTTGTTTCCCCTTCCCATTCTCACCCCCCCCCACCAGCCAAAGTTGTAAAGTTTGTTTTTCGACATAACAACTTGTACATCTCATTGTTGCAATGGCTCCCCTCCACAAATTACACCAACATCAAATATGATGAAAACAGGGGTTATACCATGGGGGAGGGACATACAAAGCAACAAAGAAAACATCTTATAAATATGTTAGAAACAATCACAAGAAAGAAAAAAAATTTGAGTCCTTATCTTGGGGTTCATTTCCCTAACATTAACCTATCTGATCTTTTCTGCATGACTCAGACATATACTAGTAATTGCAAATAAGGGAAACCATGGAACCCATGTTTCTTTGGACCTGGCTTACTTCACTTCATATAATGTTTTCCAAGTCTTTCCATTTCCTAACAAATGGAGCAATGTCACTCTTTCTGATGGAGGCATAGAATTCCATTGTGTATATGTACAACATTTTCTTGATCCATTCATCTATTGAAGAGCATCTGGGTTGGTTCCATATCTTAGCAATGGTAAATAATGCTGCAATGAACATTTCTTAATAGAGACCCAGAAACACAACAAATCAAAGAAAAGTTGGACAAATGGGATTGCATGAAATTGCAATGCTTCTGCATGGCAAAGGACATAGCTAGCAAGATCAACAGAAAGCCCATGGATTGGGAGAAGATCTTCACTAGCCATATAACAGACAAGGGTCTCATATCTAAAATATACCTGGAACTCAAAAAATTAAATCCCCCAACAACAAATCCTCAAAGAAACAAGTGGATAAAGACTTAAAGAGAAACTTCTCTGAAGAGGGAAGAAGGATGGCCAATAGACACATGAAGAAATGCTCAACATCCCTAGCCATAAAAGAAATGCAAATCAAAACATTGAGATACCACCTCACCCCAGTTAGAATGGCTATAATCAAGAACTCTAAAAACAACAGATGCTGGAGGGGATGGAGACAGAAGGGAACCTTACTGCATTGTTGGTGGGAGTGTAAACTTGTTCAACCACTTTGGAAAGTAGTATGGAGATTCCTCAAAAGACCCCACATAGAGCT